CTGGGTATCGAGTTCGATACTTTTTAGGCACCGACCGAATTGCCTCGATACCATCGAGTATCGAAAAACGTCTTGTCGTTCGGTACCAAATTTCGATACCTAAGGGGTTAATCTCATCAGCGTCAGTGAGCCAATAAGCCTGCAGCACTAGTGTTCGACTAGAAGAGGTGTGGCGCAGATCGATCAGCGTTTGACATCTGCGAGAGCGATTCGAAAGCGTACAGAGCAGTCTGCTCTGTTTAGCTCTCGTGGTACTGTAATACACCGATCGGTCTGCACAGTCAGTCCGCGTCCAGTCGAACACACCTACTAGTTTACACCGGTTACACTCAGGTATCGAAAAAAGTATCGTTCAGGAACCGGTATCGATGTCGAACATTTTTGAACGATACCCAGCCCTAGTCTTGGCAGGTCATAATGCAAACACGATCGGTTTGCCTTAAGAGAATGTAAACAGGCGTAACAAAAAACCAATGCCAGCCCTCTACGAACACCTTGGCAAATGAATCGCCATTGGCTAGTAAATTTTTTTGTTTACTCGCCAGACTGATAAATATATATATATATATATATTTGTTCCAGTGGCTAATATTAGACATCATTTAGTCGCATATGCGAGTGATTTACTCGCAATGTAGAGGGTTGAATGCATGTCTAAATATTGAATATGTGCAATAGGCCTTACAGTGTAAACGCAGCATAAATCTCCTTTAAACAATAATTCTTATGAGCTATAAACTACAAATGGTTTTTCCCTGTAATGATGGAAACTAGTTTATTTTTCAGTAATCCTTGCTCTTCTTTCCATTCAGTTAACATGCAGGTGCATGCTGAGCAAGCAGACAGCATTCAACGAACAAGCACCTTTACGTCCTCACTCTCTCAAGCAGTGTTATGTTAGGATATCTGCAAGCCGTTTCCTTTGTTTTCCCCATTGAAACCTCCGAACAAACCAATTCACTACAATTAATCAATTTCCCAGCAGTACTCAAGAGAGAGGACATTGTAAGAAAGTGCTCAACACGCTCACACAACAGCAGCTCTAATTGTTAATCTTAAAAATATCTTGAGATTTCGTTCTACTGGTAGTATCAGGTATGAATACATGGGTTCAGTATTAATAAATTACCTTGAAGTATTGCTACAAGATCTACACACAACACATACAGCAATTCAAACTGAAGAACAGAATTCTGCACAAATCTGTCCATAATCCCAGTGGCATGGCCTCCGACCACAGCAGATTAGGGTCATTAATCCAGGAGAGAGAACCAATCCTCTAATTATACCTCCACAAGTGATGCCCTACAGACTCTGAACCACTCCACGGTACCCACAGTCCATAAACCCCCCTCAGGGACAAACTGACCTATAATGCCATTTCTTAAATTTGCTGATTTTGCCATTTTAAGCATTTTGCGAGAAAGAGAAATGTTCTAGCGCATTAACACATGTAAATTACCCAAGTTAATAACGACTGCCAAATAGGGAACACAACCAGCAATGACATCTGCTCCTTACGATTACTAGAGCAATACTGGGTTTGTGAGCTTCCTGACTGAAATACGAGTCGTATATTGTATGAACTATATATAGGTTAATGCACATTTACCGAGTCATCATGATTATTGTCTGCCACTCAGATTATGGTCAAAAACTACATTTCCTCCTTCATTTGTCCTCGGTGGACATCGCACACACACACACACACACACACACACACACACACACATTCCCCTTTCACCTGGTTATGTGTGATGTGTTGCAACGTTGGCGAGTGTGCAAAATGTAACTGTGCCCCAATGCCTTCAAGTCCACTGTACTTTCTGCCAAACTTACATAACACCCGAACTTTGAATTTAACCTGTACTCCCCATACCAACAGAAAAGTCTGCTTATATGATAAATATGGAACATTTGTGAGAACTGTTTCCCAGTTAAAACAAACCCACAGTAACAACTGTGGAGTGTACAAGTCACTTGTTCTCACTCTTTAGTTTTGACCTGTTCAGAGATTGTTTTCAATGCTTCGAGTTCTCCAGTGAACCTAATAATGACCACGTGGATACAGTGAGGCAGGGCACGCGCCGCTGCGCCGGTTCACAAGAGGCAAATGATTCAATTGTGAGGACAAGCTGAGATCTCTAAATCCCTCATCAAACTGAAGGAACCGGATGATGGAGGAACGTTCCTTTTCAAACACATGTAAATGACAGACTACAAAGGAAAAGGCGCAAACTGATCATGCGGTGCAAACGACCGTCATTACACACGTGCGTCTCTCCCGCAGGGGTTCACGTGAACCTCACCGATGTGCGACATCCGATTCGGTTCATTATACATAGAAATAGAGGACTTTAAACGGTGAGCTTGTTTACAATTTGATGTGGTGATGGAAGTCCAACACATTTCCGTGAGTCGGTTCTTTCGAACAGTTCGTTCCAAAGAACAGGTTCAAAACGATTTAGCGGCTTTCTTGCGTCATGGCGTTATTACGTAATCACATGGTCCCTATCATCCCGGCGTGGCATATTGTATGCTCTAAAATCCTCCAGTAAATACATTTGCACATACTGCTGTTTAAGTTTGATTAATAAGGGAGCTTATTGTAATTCATATGCCTGAGTTCAGTTTGTTGCAGCCATGATAAATGTAACGTTCATTTACACTAAACGATACTAACATACATTTACATCTAGAGTTTTTTGCACGTTTTAATAAAATGCTATTAATTAAAACCAAATAGCTTGTTTGCGTGTTGATATAACTGTTATACAACCAAATCGTAAATATATTTACAGTACATTTTATTTGTAATATTTCTGCCATTCTGCTATAAAAGCATCTTATTTTTCGACCCATCAGTCAAATCTTCTCCACTTCAAATTCTCTTATCATATCACTTGGTTCTCTGCTCATTACGAATCGGTTCAAAGAGTCTGATCTGTTCACTCGAGAACCGCTCGAACCGAGTCAGTCCGGTTCACTAAAAGGATGCCTCAAAATAACAAATCGTTCACGAGTCGGGCATGTGAATGTGAAAACAACAATATTCAGTGTGCTATTTTACAACTTAAAATCAATCACTTCCTATAGTACTCTGCAAAGCTACACAGCCTAAATAACAGTTACACCCGGATTGATGCTTGTTTGAATTCGTAAGGTTGAATTCTTGTTTCCCTTTCTATAATGTTTAATACATTTTAAAAGTAATTTTTGTGTTTAACTTTGTGTTGCTCCCCACTTATAAGAACATGCTAAACTAGCTTAGCTTTCGCTAACTTACCTTTACTCATTCAAGATATGTCCCACCTCTTCCAAACGTCTCTACCGGAGAATATGTTCCCAAAAATAGCTATTCATTGACTCGCCGCCTTTCAAACGCAAGGAAATCTGTCTGTGTTCCCATAAACATGCCTGAATAAGCTTAGTTTAGTTAGCAGTGTGCATCTTTGAACTTCACTTTCCCCCCGGACAAACGTGTCATGAGTCATGCCTTCAGGAGGGAGGAGAGTTGCTCACAGGCAGCCACGCATTTTTACAAAATATATTCAAATAATCACGCAATAATGATTGATAAAAGAAAAAGCTTTAGCATTAGTGACTGATTATTCCATACTATAATAAAAGCAAAGGGGAAAGAACGAGGCACTGAGGCAAGTCGTTTGTTTTTCTTCAGCTCAAGGCAGTTATGTTAATAAGTTTGATGTAATGAGAGACAGAAAAGGGCAAAAGAAAATCAGGGACTCTAAATACAGCAGGTCTGAACTCAAATAGATCTAGGATTATATGATCTATGTGTTTTATAATTCCTACAGCTACTGAAGATCCTCAGCTTTTAATTGCTTAAAAATGAAACGTTTTTATTTATATTTTATATGTTAAGCAGTGTTAGATCAGTGCTTTAAAGAGGGAATATATGATCAAATAAAAGAGTATGAATAAAAATATTTTTTATAATAAAATATAAGAAAAAATATTTACAACTATTAGCTTACCTTTTACTCAAAAGCCAAAGGTCTTTAGTCTTGTGTATGCTGAAAATCCTCTAACTTTCTTTTGGTGTCAGAAGACTACAGGTCAGTTCAAACTGGGCATCAGGAACCCTGACAAGAAAAGAGAAAATCAGCCAGTAATCAAAAAAATGTATGAGCCTGAATATACATGACAGATCTATGCATTACAAAATAAGGCCTTATTTAATGGATTGCATCAGCAGAGACGCACGTTGCTATGAAGTGGCTAAATGATAAATAATACCAAAACTGCTACTAGTCTGAACCACATCTTCATCTCGAAACTAAAACTAAATTAAAACTCCCATAAAAGCATTGCAGATATGAGATATCTAACAAAAATGTCAGATTTAATCAGAGACAACATTAGCCGTAAATGTGGTCTCAGCATTAGGTATTGCATTTATTTCTCTCTTTTGTTTATTAAAAAAAAAAAGTCTGTACTGGCCAATGTCAATAAACCTCATGTAGGGCTTATTTTGTACCCCATAATAATCTGTGTCTATTACACCGTATCCATGTTTTACACCACATCACCTACACATCATTAGCACAAAATGCTGACTGAGAGAGAAACCATTTCTTTGTCTTTCTCCCATGCACCCATTCTCCGGTCCTGCTCACTGTCATTCATTCAATCTTCACACACATTCGGACACTCGGATACTCTCATATGATTTCTGTGCACAACATTCCCCTCCCCCTCCGCTATCTGACACATTCCAAAGGTCAAAGTCACTGGAGGGGTTTGAAGGACAGGCACGGGAACTCCAAAAGATCTGTGCGTGTGTGACAGCAAATACATGTGAAGAAAAATGTGCTTCACAGCTGAAAGACAATTTAGAAAGTTCAAAGTAAGTAAGAATGAAAGAGATATGGGCAATAGCAAAATTCTTACTTAAAATAAACGTTAACGGAAATCTTCTTTTTTATTGTATTTTATTTTATTTCAAGTTGTTAAAGCAACACTTCTCATTTCATTTAGTTCAACTTGATATACTAAAATACAAACTAAAATTGAATCAAAAATTGATATAGACATATTTAAAAATAATTTTAAAACTGAAAAAAAATTACTAAAACTTAAAATGAAATGTAAAAATAAAAAACTAATTCAAAATAGTAATAAAAACTTAGGCTACATTTATCATTTCATTTGTGATGTGCTAAAATAACTAACACTGAAACAAAAATTTATAAATATATAGACATATTAAAAAAAAAAAAAAAAAAAAAAAAAAAGAAAAAAAAAATTAAAAAAACTTTATTAAAAATAAAAAAAAAATGAA